ACAAGTTGAGCCCAAGATTGCTGAGAAGATGTGCAGACCAGCTAGCAGCACCTCTAACTCGCATCTTTCAGCACTGCCTAGTACAGTGTAAATGGCCCTCTCTATGGAAAGAGGCAAATGTAGTCCCTGTTCACAAAAAGAAGAGCAGAGCAGAAATCAGCAACTACAGACCATGTTCACTTCTGTCAATCACTGGTAAGATCCTTGAGACAATAATCTCAAGACAAATGACAGAGTTTTTTGACTCCCACTCACTACTTTGTGATCGTCAATATGGCTTCAGGAAAGGTTACTCTGCTGCTGATCTGTTGTTAAACCTCTCCACTAAGTGGCACCAGTCACTGGACGAATCCAAAGTCAGCTGTGTGGTAGCACTGGACATTGCTGGCGCTTTCGACCGGGTGTGGCACCAGGGCCTCTTAGCAAAACTTCAAGCACTGGGAATTGCAGGCTCTACGCTATGTCTCCTCAGTGATTACCTTCATGGTAGATCTCTAAGTGTAGTTCTCAATGGAACGGAATCAGTAAGACATCCTATTGGGGCAAGTGTTCCACAAGGAAGTGTGCTGGGACCATTGTTATGGAATGTCTACTTCAAAGACCTTCTTCATCTCATCCCAGAATCCCATGCATATGCAGACGACTGTACACTGACATTCACTTATCCAAGAGAAGAAATGCCAGCTGCTCTAAGCTACATCAATCACCAGCTGAGAGCTATATCAGCTTGGGGAAATAGATGGCAAGTAACATTTGCACCTGAGAAAACGCAAATGATAATCGTCTCTAGGCACCATGATGGTAATGCTGGTGCAGTAGTAAGGATGAATGGGAGGGTGTTGGCACCTGGAGAAGAAGTTGATATCCTTGGGGTGAAATTTGACTCCAAACTAACCATGAAGAACCATGTTGTAAATCTTGCAAACAAGGCAGCCAGGAAGCTTACAGCACTTCGCCGTATCTCGCATCTGCTTGACGTAGGGGTTGCAAGATTCTGTAAGAGGCACAAGTACGCTCACACCTTGAGTATTCTCTACTTTCTTGGTTTGCCTGCCCCCCCTCTCATCTGCGACTGCTTGACAGAGTAGAGAACAGAGCAAGACGTCTATCTCTCGCTGGACCCATCCTGGATAGATCTGTCATTTCAGCAGAGCCTTCAAACATAGAGAGATGTGGGTGGCCTTACTGTTATGTACAAGGCCAATATGTCAAAGTGCCACACTTGGATCCACTTTGAGGACAGAGCGTGAAACAAGCTTTTATGCCACAAGACGGGCAGAAAGCAGAAACTTCACTCTGGCTGTTACCCTTCTCTCAGACGTCACCTCCATCTAAGATCCTATATACCCAGGATGACTCGAGTATGGAACACATCGTACAGCATAAAGATGTCAACGAGATAAGTCAGTTGATCAAATGAAAATGCTGGCCCACATGGCTCCAACGTCATCCTGTTCCCTACTTGTATGTCTCATAATAATAAAAATGCTTTCAAATGAGCTGATGTAGGTAACAGCTCTTAGCTTGCCAATAAAGTTAGGAATCCTTAACCTGTAAATAGCTTGTCAATAAAGCTAGGGATCCTTAACCTTGTCAAACCTTGTGTAAAAAAAAAAAAAAAAAAAGTGAGAGAGTGAGTGAGTGAGAGAGAGAGAGAGAGAATGAGAGATAAAATGAGAGAGATAGACATTGACTACAAATATTTTAAGGTAAGTAATGAGTGTATTAGAAGTGTATTTTAGTTTTTTATTGTTTTTAATGCCTAGTTCTATTGCTAACTTAATATATGTTAGTGTAAACTTGTTATCTAGCATTTATATGCATTTTTAAGTGGAGAAAAGGCGCTCTATTTTACGATGATTTCCGCTTTATGGCGGTAGCCTGGAACCTAAACTGCTGTAGAAGTGGGGCCCTGCTATATTGTCATCTTTGGTCTAGAATGGATTAATTCTATTTACATTATTCTTTATAGGAAAAATTGGTTTGATTGTCAAACCGATGTCTGGAACGAATTCAGTTTGACAACCGGGGTTCCACTGTACAGTGAATTTTGGGGAATTTTCTTATTTTACACTTTTTCTAGTGTTGGAAATGTTCAAATGTTATAAGGGAATATTACTGTAATATATTTGCAGTTCATTAATTTTCTCTTAAAATTGGTTTCTATACCATTTTTAATTTTTCTCTTTTCTTTCAGATAGTGACACCAATGCCAGCCATTAGGCTTTTTGAGGAGTAGTGTGGCTTGGAAAACCTCCAAGCTCTACTTATCCTAATGTTACGAGCTATTGCAGTTGGTATCCCCGTTGGTCTTACCTTTGTGGATTGCTTTGGTTATGTTGCAAAGGTAGAAGGTATATCCATGCAACCAGCCTTGAATCCTGAGAGTAATGGCAATAATGATTTTGTTTTCCTGAGTCGTTGGAGCTCCAAGTCTTTTTCTTACGATCGTGGTGACATGGTATCACTGATATCACCCAAAGATCCTAGCCAGAAAATTATTAAGCGCATAATTGCCCTTGAAGGTGATCTAATTCATACTATTGGGTACAAAAGTAGATACATACGTATCCCAGAGGGCCATTGTTGGGTGGAGGGTGATCATACAGGCCATTCATTAGATTCAAATTTCTTTGGACCAGTGGCTGTAGGACTCATAACTGCCAAAGCTTCTCAGATTGTCTGGCCTCCTAAACGTTGGCAGCGATTAGAGAGCGAGTTGCCAGATGAGCGAATTCCTCTCAATTTGCGTGGTGTTTCTGGCAGGAGATTCGATACTAGTGAAGCAATTGATATGCTAGATATAGAAGAGTGAAATATAAATACTTCGTATTATATTTTAATATCTAGTTAGATACTGTATATTACAAGTGGAAAATGAGGTACTTCTTTTTGTAAATCATTTGGAATTTGAATTTGAGGGTAACATAAATAAAAATGCAATATGCCTTGGTGATGTTGATAATGATGGACAAAATGAATTAATTGTTGGGAATGAAAAAGGTGTCCTTGCAGTCTTTAAAGGAGAAAATCCACACCCAGTTCATGTAGGAACAGAACTTGGAATGGTGTCTGCAATTTCAGTTGGTGATGTGTTTAATACCGGTCTTAATGTGTTGGTGGTGGTCACTGGATGTGGCTATTGCTACATATATGACTTTGAGGATGATCATCTAGGAGAGCCCACAGAAAAGAAAGTACTACAACCAGTTCATGCTCAGCGCATCCCTGCCAATGTTAAAATAATGCTAATTGGTGATGTAAACGGGGATGGGTTTTCAGAGTTGGTTGTTGCCCTGACTGATCGTGTTGTTCGTACGTACAGATGGGTAAATTCTGGTGAAGTTGTTGGTGGCAAGTCATATGGCAAACTGATTGGCCTCAACAAATGGGAACTGGGAGATCAAATTGGAAGTATTACATTTAATAGGTGTAAAGATGGAACCCCTTCACTTTTGGTTGCTCAACCAGGTGGTACTTACTTTACTTTAAAAGTACAGCGCACTAGTCAGGATTATGAGTTAGATCCATTTGATGAGCAGTCGTCAGAGCTGTTGACTAAAATGTCCCTTGATTATGAGCCGCTGGCATCAGCAAGACTCCGCAATCCCAACATTCACACAGAGATCTGTGGCAACATCAGATTAAGTAAAATAAGTTCTCACAGTAGTGAAGAGGAAACTAATGAAACTTTAAAACAGATGTAGTACAAGCAGATACCAGTAGATGTGAAGAAACCCCTTGTGAAATTTCTAAAACTTCAGATTCAGATTCTAGTCGAGTCAGGTCCAGCAATGATGCATGTGATGCCTCTCCCTATAAATGTGTGATAACCTAAGGCCATTTCTCAGAAACACAAGATCATCTGTCAGATCATGTATGGAATCTAATGAAGGAGAAACTAATCTAGCCTCTGCCTATGCATTGGCTACTTTGGATGGTACATTGATGTTGGTGCATGAGGGTAAAATTCGATGGAACTTACAAGTGGATCATCAACTTTTTGCTGTTTGTGGACTGGATGTCACAGAAGATGGCAAAGATGAGGTCATAGCATGTGCATGGGATGGGAACACCTATATAGTCTGCCAGAACACTGACTGTGTTCGTTTTACCTTCCATGAGCCTGTTAATGCATTCACAGCAGGCTTATATGGTCTTAGAGGAAAGCAGGTATGTAAGCATTTTTAATGTAGAAATTTGCATAAATTACTACTCGCACTCCCTATGAATAGCTGTATACGTACTGCATCTGATTACTGTAATAAAATGTCTACTTAATTTTGTTGTTCAGTATTATATTTTTCTTAAATTGAAACTTTTACATTTTTCATATCATTCATCTTAAGGCTCTTGCTTGAGTAGTAATAATAATAATAATAGTAGTAGGTTGGTAGACAGCAGCCACCCAGGGAGGTACTACCGTTCTGCCAAGTGAGTGCAAAACGAAAGCCTGTAATTGTTTTACATGATGGTAGGATTGCTGTGTCTTTTGTCTGTCTCATAAATATGCAAGATTACAGGTATGTCTTGCTACTTCTACTTACACTTAGGTCACACTACACACACTTAGGTCACACTACACATACATGTACACATTTATTTATACACACTCATCTGAGTTTTCTTTGATTTTATCTTAATAGTTCTTGGTCTTATTACTTTTCCTTTTATATCCATGGGGAAGTGGAATAAGAATCTTTCCTCCGTAAGCCATGCGTGTTGTAAAAGTCAACTAAAATGCCGGGAACAATGGGCTAGTAACCCCTTTTCCTGTAAAGATTACTAAAAAGAATAAGAAGAAGAAAATTGTCAAAGTGGGAAGTCTGAATGTGCGTGGATGTTGTGCAGATGATAAGAAAGAGATGATTGTGGATGTTATGAATGAGAAGAAGCTGGATGTCCTGGCTTTAAGTGAAACAAAGCTGAAGGGGGTGGGAGAGTTTCAATGGAGAGGAATAAATGGGATTAGATCAGGGGTTTCAAATAGAGTTAGAGCTAAAGAAGGAGTAGCAATAATGTTGAAGGATAAGCTATGGCAGGAAAAGAGGGACTATAAATGTATTAATTCAAGGATTATGTGGAGTAAAATAAAGATTGGATGTGAAAAGTGGGTTATAATAAGCTGTATGCACCTGGAGAAGAGAGAAGTGTAGAGGAGAGAGAGAGATTTTGGGAAATGTTGAGTGAATGCGTGGGGAGTTTTGAATCAAGTGTGAGAGTAATGGTGGTTGGGGATTTAAATGCTAAAGTGGGTAAAAATGTTATGGAGGGAGTAGTAGGTAAATTTGGGGTGCCAGGGGTAAATGTAAATGGGGAACCTTTAATTGAGCTATGTGTAGAAAGAGATTTGGTAATAAGTAATACATATTTTATGAAAAAGAGGATAAATAAATATACAAGGTAGGATGAAGCACGTAATGAAAGTAGTTTATTAGATTATGTATTGGTGGATAAAAGATTGATGGGTAGGCTCCAGGATGTACATGTTTATAGAGGGGCAACTGATATATCGGATCATTATTTAGTTGTAGCTACAGTTAGAGTAAGAGGTAGAGGGGAAAAGAGGAAGGTGGGAACAACAAGTAAGAGGGAGGTGAAAGTGTATAAACTAAGGGAGGAGGAAGTTCGGGTAAGATATAAGCGACTATTGGCAGAAAGGTGGGCTAGTGCAAAGATGAGGAGTGGGGGGGGCTTGAAGAGGGTTGGAATAGTTTTAAAAATGCAGTATTAGAATGTGGGGCAGAAGTTTGTGGTTATAGGAGGGTGGGGACAGGAGGAAAGAGGAGCGATTTGTGGAATGATGAAGTAAAGGGTGTGATAAAAGAGAAAAAGGTAGCTTATGAGAGGTTTTTACAAAGCAGAAGTGTTATAAGAAGAGCAGAGTATATGGAGAGTAAAAGAAAGGTAAAGAGAGTGGTGAGAGACTGCAAAAGGAGAGCAGATGATAGAGTGGGAGAGGCACTGTCAAGAAATTTTAATGAAAATAAGAAAAATTTTGGAGTGAGTTAAACAAGTTAAGAAAGCCTAGGGAAAGTATGGATTTGTCAGTTAAAAACAGAGTAGGGGAGTTAGTAGATGGGGAGATGGAGGTATTAGGTAGATGGTGAGAATATTTTGAGGAACTTTTAAATGTTAAGGAAGAAAGAGAGGCAGTAATTTCATGCACTGGTCAGGGAGGTATACCATCTTTTAGGAGTGAAGAAGAGCAGAATGTAAGTGTGGGGGAGGTACGTGAGGCATTACGTAGAATGAAAGTGGGTAAAGCAGCTGGAACTGATGGGATCATGACAGAAATGTTAAAAGCAGGGGGGGATAGTGTTGGAGTGGTTGGTACTTTTGTTTAATAAATGTATGAAAGAGGGGGAAGGTACCTAGGGATTGGCAGAGAGCATGTATAGTCCCTTTATATAAAGGGAAAGGGGACAAAAGAGACTGTAAAAAATATAGAGGAATAAGTTTACTGAGTATACCAGGAAAAGTGTACGGTAGGGTTATAATTGAAAGAATTAGAGGTAAGACAGAATGTAGGATTGCGGATGAGCAAGGAGATTTCAGAGTGGGTAGGGGATGTGTAGATCAAGTGTTTACATTGAAGCATATATGTAAACAGTATTTAGATAAAGGTAGGGAAGTTTTTATTGCATTTATGGATTTAGAAAAGGCATATGATAGAGTGGATAGAGGAGCAATGTGGCAGATGTTGCAAGTATATGGAATAGGTGGTAAGTTATTAAATGCTGTAAAGAGTTTTTATGAGGATAATGAGGCTCAGGTTAGGGTGTGTAGAAGAGAGGGAGATTACTTCCCGGTAAAAGTAGGTCTTAGACAGGGATGTGTAATGTCACCATGGTTGTTTAATATATTTATAGATTGGGTTGTAAAGGAAGTAAATGCTAGGGTGTTCGGGAGAGGGGTGGGATTAAATTTTGGGGAATCAAATTCAAAATGGGAATTGACACAGTTACTTTTTGCTGATGATACTGTGCTTATGGGAGATTCTAAAGAAAAATTGCAAAGGTTAGTGGATGAGTTTGGGAATGTGTGTAAAGGTAGAAAGTTGAAAGTGAACATAGAAAAGAGTAAGGTGATGAGGGTATCAAATGATTTAGATAAAGAAAAATTGGATATCAAATTGAGAAGGAGTAGTATGGAAGAAGTGAATGTTTTCAGATGTACTTGGGAGTTGACGTGTCGGCGGATGGATTTATGAAGGATGAGGTTAATCATAGAATTGATGAGGGAAAAAAGGTGAGTGGTGCATTGAAGTATATGTGGAGTCAAAAAACGTTATCTATGGAGGCAAAGAAGGGAATGTATGAAAGTATAGTAGTACCAACACTCTTATATGGGTGTGAAGCTTGGGTGGTAAATGCAGCAGCGAGGAGACGGTTGGAGGCAGTGGAGATGTCCTGTTTAAGGGCAATGTGTGGTGTAAATATTATGCAGAAAATTCGGAGTGTGGAAATTAGGAAAAGGTGTGGAGTTAATAAAAGTATTAGTCAGAGGGCAGAAGAGGGGTTGTTGAGGTGGTTTGGTCATTTAGAGAGAATGGATCAAAGTAGAATGACATGGAAAGCATATAAATCTATAGGGGAAGGAAGGAGGGGTAGGGGTTGTCCTCGAAAGGGTTGGAGAGAGGGGGTAAAGGAGGTCTTGTGGGCAAGGGGCTTGGACTTCCAGCAAGCGTGCGCGAGCGTGTTAGATAGGAGTGAATGGAGACGAATGGTACTTGGGACCTGACGATCTGTTGGAGTGTGAGCAGGGTAATATTTAGTGAAGGGATTCAGGGAAACCGGTTATTTTCATATAGTCGGACTTGAGTCCTGGAAATGGGAAGTATAATGCCTTCACTTTAAAGGAGGGGTTTGGGATATTGGCAGTTTGGAGGGATATGTTGTGTATCTTTATATGTGTATGCTTCTGAGCTGTTGTATTCTGAGCATACCTCTGCAAAAACAGTGATAGTGTGAGTGTGGTGAAAGTGTTGGATGATGAAAGTATTTTCTTTTTGGGGATTTTTTCTTTTTTTGGGTCACCCTGCCAAAAAAAAAAATTTATAATTATTTCAGCATGATACAATGTATGTACAAAGGAGAATGACATTTGGGTGTACATTCTGAAAGCCCCTGTTTATCAGAGCATTTTGGGCAAACTTAAAACTAGCTTAATCTTAAGGCAATAACAGTGTGAGTAATTTTGTACATACAGTCACTTAGGTGAGTGTAAGTAGAACTTATTCTTACCTCCATATTTTTTATCACTTAATATGAGGTATGGTTTATTTATGCTCATCTCTTGTAGCTTTAAGAAATTCCTTACAGACTGTTTTTACATGCTATTTACATATGCCACATCCACTTGCTTTTTTTTTTTCCAACAAGTCGGCCATCTCCCACCGAGGCAGGGTGACCCAAAAAAGAAAGAAAATCCCCCAAAAGAAAATGCTTTCATCATCATTCAACACTTTCACCACACTCACACATAATCACTGTTTTTGCAGAGGTGCTCAGAATACAACAGTTTAGAAGCATATACATATAAAGATACACAACATATCCCTCCAAACTGCCAATATCCCAAACCCCTCCTTTAAAGTGCAGGCATTGTACTTCCCATTTCCAGGACTCAAGTCCGACTATATGAAAATAACCGGTTTCCCTGAATCCCTTCACTAAATATTACCCTGCTCACACTCCAACAGATCGTCAGGTCCCAAGTATCATTCGTCTCCATTCACTCCTATCTAACACGCTCACGCACGCTTGCTGGAAGTCCAAGCCCCTTGCCCACAAAACCTCCTTTACCCCCTCTCTCCAGCCCTTTCGAGGACGACCCTTACCCTGCCTTCCTTTCCCTATAGATTTATATGCTTTCCATGTCATTCTACTTTGATCCATTCTCTCTAAATGACCAAACCACCTCAACAACCCCTCTTCTGCCCTCTGACTAATACTTTTATTAACTCTACACCTTTTCCTAATTTCCACACTCCGAATTTTCTGCATAATATTTACACCACACATTGCCCTTAGACATGACATCTCCACTGCCTCCAACCGTCTCCTCGCTGCTGCATTACCACCCAAGCTTCACACCCATATAAGAGTGTTGGTACTACTATACTTTCATACATTCCCTTCTTTGCCTCCATAGATAACGTTTTTTGACTCCACTTGCTTATTATCACTTACAAATAAGATGTTTATTAAACACACCCAGTACAGGAGGGCTTTGATTTACAGTATTTTGCTACTACAGCAGTTTTCACTTATACCCATTCTTCATTTATTCAGGCTTCCTACAATAAATATATTCACCGCTCACTATAAGCTAAGTAAAAATATTTTAAAGTGAGTAATGTGTGTGTACTGTATATGCATTTTTTAGGCCTAGCTCTGTTGCTCACTTAATATATGATAGTGTAAACATATTATCAGGCTGTGAGATGTATTTGAAATTGAAATAAAAGGCTGTTTCTTTCACTTTACACTGATTTTGCTTTACAGCAGTTGCCTGGAACCTACCCTGCTGTATAAGCGGGGCCCTCCTGTACTTCATACTAACACTGTGTGATTAACTGTTCCTTAGTGATTTATTAGTTCTCGTGCTAAGATTAGTGCAATTATTTCTGTAAGATAGGATAAGAGGAATTGTTTCCATGCAGTCATCTGCTTCACATTCTCTCTCTTCTGGAATTGTGGACTTGTACCTTATGTAAAAAGGAGGGTGTGGTTGTGGCAATATTTTCTAAAGTTACCATGGCTGGTATAAGATGTGATGCATGGCTTTGACAGCAATTTCAGCAAAATTGGCTAGAAAAAATAATTTTTTTTAAGACTGACCATTTCCCACAAAGAAAACACTTTCACTGTCACTCATTCAATTACTGTCTTGCCAGAAGCTCATTGACAATACAGTTATGACCCTCCAAACCACAGCACCCTCCCCCTGATTGGTAGTGCAGGCACTAAACTTTCTACCTCCAGGACTCTGGTGTGGCTAATTGGTTTCCCCGAATCTCTCTATATATGCTCACACCCCTGTAGCATGTCAGATTATAAAAAAACTCTTGCCTCTACTCCTGTCTAACATGCTCTTATAAGAATGTTGGATGTCCATTCCCCTTCCCTTTAGCTTTTTGTAGGATGACCCCTACCTCTCCTTCCCTTCACTCCAAATTTATATACCCTTCTAGACATCCTGTTTTTCTATAACCTGTGTCTAGTTTTAAGTAATCTGTAAGCAGTAGGATTAGTCTGCCTGAAATGCTCAGGCATGTTAGTGGCTTTCTTTGTACTTAACCTTTTATAAAATGTAAATCACACGTTGTAACCTTTGCAAAGTTCCGTTCCTACGACCACGTCGTTATGTGAATTCGTTGCTAAGTGAGGAGCATACTATAATGGTAGTAGGTTTGTGTCAACCATCTTTGATATTATTTTAATGTCACCTTTGACCATAAACAGAAATATCAATCTCAATCTCAAAATAATGAATCTTAACTAGTCATAAGTTGGCCTGTGATACTCCAATACTGAAACTTTGTATAGTGCCAAAACAAAAGCATTCACATTGCTAATCTCACAAACTAGTATTTAGTCACTTAGCCATAATACCAACTTACCTCATAATTTTGTAATATTTTAAACTTAAGATTTAATTTAAGTCTGCCCGAAATGCCTAGCCATGCTAGGTGTTCTTGTGGTACACTCTGTAATTATTATTTTACTACATGTAAACCACACAATAACCAAATTCTGTGAACTCAGCATTGTAATCCTTATAGAGAATAAACTTTGAATTTGAATTTGCACCATTTATAACATTTCTGGTATATTTTTAAATGTTTATACAGTAGTGTACTGTATATTGAAATAAACAGAATAGAGGAAATCAGCTCTAATGTACATTATTTAGGTATAAATACTGACAAGAGAGCCTGTAATAAGTCTGAGCCATCGGTAAAGAAGTACGTCGCTAAGTGAGGAGAGGCTGTATTGTATCGTATCCTCGCTAAGTGTCCAAACCACCTTGTCATCCCTCTAAATAATACTTTTGCTAACTCCACATGACTTCCTCCATAAGAAGGCATACATGCATGTTGTAAAAGGTGACTGAAGTGCTGGGAGCAAAGGGCTAGTAACCATTTCTCCATTATGTGGTAAATTACTAGAAGAATAAGTAAGAAAAATTATGTTGTAGCTACAAGTATATGGCAACACTCATCAGCTACCTAGTAAAATGCTGCTTAAAATTGATTAATAAATAACAATAGACATATGCACCACATTCTTAAGTTTTGGAGGAAAATTATATTTTAATGTATGTGCCACTGACCTACCAATCTCTGCTATCCATATATCCATTCCTGGGCACGTGCAGTTGCATACATACAGTACTGTAACTGATTTTGATGGCTAGCCAAGGTATATCTCCCTGCCCCCATCCCCCACTGCAAGAGTTATGGTGCAGAAATTGACAATAATAAATTTAAATAAGAACAAACAGTTTACATAAGCAGTATTTAATAGAAGAAAAAGAAAAGCTAAATTTGAACATTACCTTTTGTTGGTAGTGAGGAGAGACTTGACTTGAGGAGTGTGTGGTGGTGGTGGTGGTGGCAGGCATTATGTAAATGTAGGTTTAAATATTCTAGTACACCTAGTCAGGTGCTGACCAGCAGGGCTGTGGGTCATACGTTGGACTGTGCGGCTAGCAGTAACAGCCTGCTTGATCAGGCCCTGGTCCACCATGAGGCCTGGTCACAGACCAGGCCATGGAGGCATTGACCCCTAGAACACTCTCCAGATATACTCTCCAGGTATACACTTATACAATACTGCATCATAACTAAGGGTAGTAAACTTTAAAAGCCAATACAGTATCCTTGTTTCATGAATAATTAGACACTTAGGCAACATCTGGGTATCTTTATAGATGTTTTGCCATCCAGTGGCTTTATCAGTACAGTACATAGACATAATCTGAAGACTATAGAAATATTTACAGAAGACAATGAAAGATGACGTAATCAGTCCCTCAGTCTAGGAGCAGGGGATGAGCACTGTAGCCTTGAATAGCTTAGCTGTGGCCTGTATTTGTCATTAGTCATTATCACAAAGTAGTGTACAGTATGTACTAAGATTGTTTTGGAAAAATCCCCTCTGATGTACCCATGCCTCTACTATAAACTCACTCACTGTTGTTTACCTGTGACTTTGCTCATACCCACCACAGGAGTGTGTGGATATTTGAAGTTTGCAATATATTGGCAGATAGTAGAGGTTCTACTGTAGTATTATAATATTTAATGTAGATTAGTATTGCACTACATCATATATTCATCTTTTTGCAGGTACCCTGTCTAGTGTATGCTTCATTCAACAACCGTATCTATCTATATCATAGCATCACCATGTCCCACGTTGTCACCAAATCCATGGTAGAAGTCTTAAAGGAGGATTCTATGTATCAACAAATGTTGGACAAGCTTGGAATTAGTGCTGATGATACTGCAAAGCTCAAAGAACTAAATCATTTCCTGTTGTATGGAAAACTAGAGTATTAGTTCTCATTATAATGTTAAGGGAACTTTTGTTCTGTATGTGCCATTAATGTGTCCAAGTTGAGGAAGTGGAAGCTTTATCGAGAGTCTTGATTTAGTACATTCTAATAGCATTTAACACAATGCTGTACATATTCTGGAGTGATCTAAATTAAAGTACAAAATTTCCATCTTGTATTATTTTTGCCTTGAATAAAATACAATATTATGCACAAAAGTATTTTTAATAAACAATTCTAGTATAGAGACTTGTATAAGCAAGAGAGATTAATTTTTACCGTCTTTTTTAAAAAATTAATTCTTTGCTACTAGGCAGATGTATACGTACTGACATTGTTGCAACTGCATAATAATAATAGTAATAATAATAATTGTACAAGTACATGTACAATGTATACAGACCTAGCAGACATCAGTGACATACTACTATACAGAAAACCCCTTGTTTATGCAGAGCATTTTGGGCATATTAGGTCAAATTTGTCCCCAGGGTGCAACCTACACCAGTCGACTAACACCCAGGTACCTATTTTACCAATAGGTGAACAGGGACAGCAGGTGTCTTAAGGAAACATATCCTAACGTTTCCACCTGCACTGAGGATCGAAAAATGTTATTTTAGTGCCAGGAATGTCTGTCTTGTTTATTTTGGAGCCTATTTGGAAATTGGCATTTTCTGAAATTTGTGTGAAATTTGCAAAATTGCCAATTTCTGACCACTTTATTGGTTAGTTGAAATCTGTTAATGGGTGGTTTCTTGTACTCATTCGATAGAACAAATGGAGTTCTAGCGAAATAGTTATGATTTGTCGACCGGTACATTGGAATTGGCCAAAAATAGGGCTCAAAGTGGGCGAAATCGCCGATGCGTGAACATCGTCGAGACTGCTAACTTTGTGAGAGCATAATTCCGTAAGTTTTCTATAAAATTTCATACTTTTGGTGTCTTTATGATCGGGAAAAGATTCTCTATCATTTCTTAAGATTTTTTTTTTTTTTTTTGAAAAGTTTTTCAACCCTGAGAACAAATTTAGGAGAGGGCCTGCTGACCCTGAAAGGGTTAGTATTACTGTTTATGAAAAGGATTTGGGAGTTCTGGTTAGCAGTGCATAAGTGTTTGCAATAAAGTGAACAGAATCCTTGGCTTCATATCGAGAAGCATAAATATTAGGAGTCCTCAGATTGTTCTTCAACTCTATATATCCTTGGTTAGGCCTCATTTAGATTATGCTGCACAGTTTTGGTCACCGTATTACAGAATGGATATAAGTGCTCTGGAAAATGTACAAAGGAGGATGACAAAGTTGATCCCATGTATCCGAAATCTTTCCTATAAGGATAGACTAAGGACCCTGAATCTGCACTCTAGAAAGGTGTAAAATTAGGGGAGATATGATTGAGGTGTATAAATGGAAAACTGGAATAAATAAAGGGGACATAATTAGCATGCTAAAAATATCTAGCCAAGACAGGACTTGCAGCAATGATTTTAAGTTGGAAGAATTCAGATTCAGGAAGGATATAGGAAAGCACGGGTTTGATAAGTTATGGTGAATGGAGCAAACTCCCAGTACCATCATAGAAGCTAAAACGTTGTGTAATTTTAAAAAATGGTTAGATAAATACACGAGTGGGTGTGGGTGGGCGTGATTTTGGACCTGACTAGCTTGTGCTACTAGGTCAGATGCCGTGCTCCATCCTTAAGTGAATGTGACCTGACCTGACTAGGTTGGGGCATTGGCTTGGGCCGGTGGAGGACTTGGACGTGCCTTGTATGGGCCAGTAGGCCTGCTCCAGTGTGTTAGGGAGATAAGGTGTTTTTTAATGGATGTGAAAAAGTGGTTTAGTAAGCGTGTATGCACCTGGAGAAGAGAGAAGTGTAGAGGAGAGAGAGGGGATTCTGGGAAATGTTGAGTGAATGCGTGGGGAGTTTTGAATCAAGTGTGAGAGTAATGGTGGTTGGGGATTTCAATGCTAAAGTGGTAAAAATGTTATGGAGGGGGTAGTAGGTAATTTTGGGGTGCCAGGGGTAAATGTAAATAGGGAGCCTTTAATTGAGCTATGTGTAGAAAAGAAATTGGTAATAAGTAATACATATTTTATGAAAAAGAGGATAAATAAATATACAAGGTATGATGTAGCACGTAAAAGAAAGTATTTTGTTAGATTATGTATTGGTGGAAAAAGGTTGATGGGTAGGCTCCAGGATGTACATGTTTATAGAGGGGCAACTGATATATCGGATCATTATTTAGTTGTAGCTACAGTTAGAGTAAGAGGTAGATGGGAAAAAAGGAAGGGGGAAACAACAAGTAAGAGGGAGGTGAAAGTGTTTAAACTAAGGGAGGAGAAGTTCGGGCGAGATATAAGCGACTATTGGCAAAAGGTGGGCTAGTGCAAAGATGAGTATGGGGGGTTGAAGAGGGTTGGAATAGTTTTAAAAATGCAGTTTTAGAATGTGGGGCAGAAGTTTTTGGTTTTTTAGGGGGGTGGGGGCAGGAGGAAAGAGGAGTGATTGGTGGAATGATGAAGTAAAGGGTGTGATAAAAGAGAAAAAGGTAGCTTACGAGAGGTTTTTACAAAGCAGAAGTGTTATAAGAAGAGCAGAGTATATGGAGAGTAAAAGAAAGGTGAAGAGAGTGGTGAGAGAGTGCAAAAGGAGAGCAGATGAAAGAGTGGGAGAGGGACTGTCAAGAAATTTTAATGAAAATAAGAAAAAAATTTTTGGAGTGAGTTAAACAAGTTAAGAAAGCCTAGGGAAAGTATGGATTTGTCAGTTAAAAAACAGAGTAGGGGAGTTAGTAGATGGGGAGAGGGAGGTATTAGGTAGATGGCGAGAATATTTTGAGGAACTTTTAAATGTTAAGGAAGAAAGGGAGGCGGTAATTTCATGCATTGGCCAGGGAGGTATACCATCTTTTAGGAGTGAAGAAGAGCGGAATGTAAGTGTGGTGGAGGTACGTGAGGCATTACGTAGAATGAAAGGGGGTAAAGCAGCTGGAACTGATGGGATCATGACAGAAATGTTAAAAGCAGGGGGGGATATAGTGTTGGAGTGGTTGGTACTTTTGTTTAATAAATGTATGAAAGAGGGGAAGGTACCTAGGGGTTGGCGGAGAGCATGTATAGTCCCTTTATATAAAGGGAAAGGGGACAAAAGAGATTGTAAAAATTATAGAGGAATAAGTTTACTGAGTATACCAGGAAAAGTATACGGTAGGGTTATAATTGAAAGAATTAGAGGTAAGACAGAATGTAGAATTGCGGACGAGCAAGGAGGCTTCAGAGTGGGTAGGGGATGTGTAGATCAAGTGTTTACATTGAAGCATATATGTGAACAGTATTTAGATAAAGGTAGGGAAGTTTTTATTGCATTTATGGATTTAGAAAAGGCATATGATAGAGTGGATAGAGGAGCAATGTGGCAGATGTTGCAAGTATATGGAATAGGTGGTAAGTTACTAAATGCTGTAAAGAGCTTTTATGAGGATAGTGAGGCTCAGGTTAGGGTGTGTAGAAGAGAGGGAGAATACTTCCCAGTAAAAGTAGGTCTTAGACAGGGATGTGTAATGTCACCATGGTTGTTTAATATATTTATAGATGGGGTTGTAAAAGAAGTAAATGCTAGGGTGTTCGGGAGAGGGGTGGGATTAAATTATGGGGAATCAAATTCAAAATGGGAATTGACACAGTTACTTTTTGCTGATGATACTGTGCTTATGGGAGATTCTAAAGAAAAATTACAAAGGTTAGTGGATGAGTTTGAGAATGTGTGTAAAGGTAGAAAGTTGAAAGTGAACATAGAAAAGAGTAAGGTGATGAGGGTATCAAATGATTTAGATAAAGAAAAATTGGATATCAAATTGGGGAGGAGCAGTATGGAAGAAGTGAATGTTTTCAGATACTTGGGAGTTGACGTGTCGGCGGATGGATTTATGAAGGATGAGGTTAATCATAGAATTGATGAGGGAAAAAAGGTGAGTGGTGCGTTGAGGTATATGTGGAGTCAAAAAACGTTATCTATGGAGGCAAAGAAGGGAATGTATGAAAGTATAGTAGTACCAACACTCTTATATGGATGTGAAGCTTGGGTGGTAAATGCAGCAGCGAGGAGACGGTTGGAGGCAGTGGAGATGTCCTGTCTAAGGGCAATGTGTGGTGTAAATATTATGCAGAAAATTCGGAGTGTGGAAATTAGGAGAAGGTGTGGAGTTAATAAAAGCATTAGTCAGAGGGCAGAAGAGGGGTTGTTGAGGTGGTTTGGTCATTTAGAGAGAATGGATCAAAGTAGAATGACATGGAAAGCATATAAATCTATAGGGGAAGGAAAGAGGGGTAGGGGTCGTCCTCGAAAGGGTTGGAAAGAGGGGGTAAAGGAGGTTTTGTGGGTGAGGGGCTTGGACTTCCAGCAAGCGTGCATGAGCGTGTTAGATAGGAGTGAATGGAGACGAATGATACTTGGGACCTGACGATCTGTTGGAGTGTGAGCAGGGTAATATTTAGTGAAGGGATTCAGGGAAACCGGTTATTTTCATATAGTCGGACTTGAGTCCTGGAAATGGGAAGTACAATGCCTGCACTTTAAAGGAGGGGTTTGGGATATTGGCAGTTTGGAGGGATATGTTGTGTATCTCTATACGTATATGCTTCTAAACTGTTGTATTCTGAGCACCTCTGCAAAAGCAGTGATAATGTGTGAGTGTGGTGAAAGTGTTGAATGATGATGAAAGTATTTTCTTTTTGGGGATTTTCTTTCTTTTTTTTTTTTTTGGGTCACCCTGCCTCGGTGGGAGACGGCCGACTTGTTGAAAAAAAAAAAAAAAAAAGATTTGAAAATGGTGGAAGAGTCTGCAGCTCTAGAAATTTCGGGCAGGGAGTTCCAGATTTTTGGCCCTTTTATGTACATTGAGTTTTTGAAGAGATTTAGCCAGACACTAGGAATGTCATAGTTTTTTGTCTGGTATTATATCTATGGGACCTGTTGAGTGAGGCAAAATTAGGGTGGGAGGTGACATAAACAGTGTCATCAGCAAAGAAAATAGATTTAAGTTGTTGTGATATGTTTGGAAGATCATTGATGTATAAGAGGAAGAGCAGGGGACCAAGAAAACTTCCTTGTGGTACTCCGGTACATACCCAGTGGTCTTGATGAGGTTGTGTCCTTAATA